TGGCACTAATTACCCCACGTTCACACTCACTGGCACTAATTACCCCACGTTCACACTCACTGGCACTAATTACCCCAGGTTTACACTCACTGGCACTAATTACCCCAGGTTCACACTCACTGGCACTAATTACCGCAGGCTCACACTCACTGGCACTAATTACCCCAGATTCACACTCACTGGCACTAATTACCCCAGGTTCACACTCACTGGCACTAATTACCGCAGGCTCACACTCACTGGCACTAATTACCCCAGATTCACTCTCACTGGCACTAATTACCCCAGGTTCACACTCACTGGCACTAATTACCCCAGGTTTACACTCACTGGCACTAATTACCGCAGGCTCACACTCACTGGCACTAATTACCCCAGGTTCACACTCACTGGCACTAATTACCCCACGTTCACACTCACTGGTACTCATTGTGTCATGTTCACGCAAGAAGAATGGCCAGTTGGTTTTAGTCAAAGGTAAAGTCTCCATACAGCTGCTCTGTCATGAGAGAGAGGACTGTTGGTGGTTTGATCTGAGGGTCACCACACCTCAGGTAATAGGGGAGATTGAGGATAGTCCTTCATTTTAACCTCAGCAGTGCAGTGATTGAACTGTTGGCATCACTCAGCTTCATAAACCAGCTCTCCAGCCAACTGAGCTAACTAACTCCCTTGTACAGTCAGAGTATTGGATAAGGAATCTGTATCACTTCAAGCTTCATAGCTGATCCCCTCCTAAAAGCCTGACAGCAATGTGAAGAAAAATGATAGTCTAATGCTTTGGACGCAGAATTAGTTTATTCACTGAGTTCGCTAGTTTCATTTCAGATTTCTTTGTATTTCTAAAATCTCATTCACATTTTAGATTGACTAAACTGTGCTTCTATAAATGGATTTGCTCTATGGCCACTACTGCAATCCCCCTCTGGAGATCTGAGCAGTAAATCTACACTGACACTCGAGTGCAGTCCTGAGGAAGCTCTGCTGTTTTTCAAATGAGATGTTAAACTTCTCAGCTGGATGTAAAGAGTCCCAGGCATTGTTTTGACTGGTTAGGGTGTTATACCTGGCGACCTTCCCGATATTTAACCTTCCATTACTGAAAAAAAAGTTGCTGATTGTCAGAGTTTGCCTTGCTTTGTTTACACTGTTGCTGTATTTCTAATTCCAACAATGTCTATACCTCAAAAGCAATTCACTAGCTGTGTAAAAAAAAACTTTGGAACCTCCTGTGAACATAATAGGTGCCAAATTAGTGCACATTTTCATACTATGTTTCCATAGTTCTGTACCTCAATTTTCATAGAATCATAAGATCCCTACAGCATGGAAGCAGGCCATTCGGCCCATCAAGTCACACCAACTCTCCGAACGGCTCCACCCTCCACCCAGACACATCATCCCCTATCCCCCATTGGCTAACTCACCTAACCTCCACATCTTTAGACTGTGGGATGAAACTGGAGCACCCAGAGGAGACCCACACAGGCACAGGGAGATGGTGCAAACTCCACAGACTATGAGGCAGCAGTGCTAACCACTGAGCCACCATGCTGCTTGACTTCTGGTCAAGCTATTTCATTGTGAGGCATTCTCACCAGCAACAGCAATAACCTGATGATAACAATGACATAACAATAGCCAACAGCCTGATCATGGCTTCATCCTTTTGATTAATTTTGCAGGAGGTTTGCCTTACAGATATGAGGAGGAGAATGAGGTGTGTAAAATCATCAGGGGCATAGATAGGATGAATGCATGTAGTCTTTTTCCCAGGGTTGGGGAATTGAAAACTAGAGGGCAAAGGTTTAAGGTGAGGGGGGAAAGATTTAAGAAGGACCTGAGGGGCAACTTCTTCACCCAGAGAGTCGTGCATTTGTGGAATGGGCTGCCAGAGAAAGTGGTTGAGGCAGGTACAATTGCAACATTTAAAAAACATTTGGATAGGTACATAGATGGGAAGGGTTTACAGGGATATGGACTAAATGCAGGCAATTGTAAGTAGCTGAGTGGGCACTATGGTCAGCATGGATCAGTTTGGGCTGAAGGGCCTGCTGCATGCTGTATTACACAATGGCTCAATATGGCCAGCAAACATTGCACATCCCTAACTGCCCCAGAAGAAAACACTGGTGAGCGATGTTCCTGCTCCTGTAGAGCACTCTTGAGATGTCCAGTGGTTGTGAAAGGTGCTGTATAAATTAAGTCATATTTTAAAGTTATGCATGAGTGCAGTGATGCATTAGAATGGAAGATTCCATGTAAACCATGAAGATACCGTGCAAATTACACGTGTGTGGCTGGACAGATAAATTTAAAGGGACTGCTCACAAAAAGAATTGAGCATACATGAAATGTTAATGGGAACATTGGTGTTGAGCCATCTTCTTGAATCCAACTTAGTGGTTTTGAGGGCTATTGTGACACAGTGGTATTGTCCCTACCTCTGAGCCATGAGGGAGGCCTGGGTTTCAAGATCCATCTATTCCAGAGATGTATCATAACATTGTTAAACAGGTTGGTTAAAGATACCTCCAAATGAGTGGTTCCCTCAGCCATTTCACTGGGTAGGTAAGAGTCAACTATGTGGGTCTGGAGTCACACATAGATTCATAGATTCATAGAATCCTTACAGCGTGGAAACAGGCCCTTCGACCCAACAAGTCCACACCGATCCTCAGAGCATGCCACCCAAGACCCATCCCCCTATAACCCACCTAAACTACACATCCCTGAACACTATGAGCAATTTAGCATGGCCAATCCACCTAGCTTGCACATCTTTGGACTGTGGGAGGAAACTAGAGCACCCAGAGGAAACCCACGCAGACACGGGGAGAACATGCAAACTCCACACAGACAGTCGCCTGAAGGTGGAAGCAAACCCGGGTCCCTGGCACTGTGAGGCAGCAGTGCTAACCACTGAGCCACCGTGCCGCCCAACTGGCCACTTTTGGCCAGTTACACAGTTCCAAACATGATCCTCTCTGTGTGCTTTGTCCCCAGTGGAGCACCGAGTTACAGATTGCAAAGGCATTCAATTGCAGCGAATGCCCAGTTAGCAGACCAGTGGTGGAATGCTACAATATTGACTGAGTTTAATTCCTGCCTCCGATCAGTACTCTGTGGGTACTGCAGGAAAAGGCGCTATATATGGTTACAAATTTGGGACAACAACTTCTGACTACTTATTTTCTCATTTGGGGGTGTGGGCATCACTGGCTAAACTGGCATTTGTTCCCCAACCTTAGCTACCCCTTGAAAAGGTGGTGGTGAGCTGCTTTTATGTACAACTGCGTCCATGTGGTGTAGGGACACCCACACACTGCTGTTTGGGAGAAAGTTGCAGGATTTTGACCCAGAGACACTGAAGGAACAGCGATATATTTCCAAGTCAGGATGGTGAGTGGCTTGGAGGGGATCTTGCAGGGGGTGGTGTTCCTGTGTAGCTGCTGCCCTTGTCCTTCCAGATGGTGGAGATCATGGGTTTGGAAAGTGCTGTTGAGCCAGGCTTGGCAAATTGGTTCAGTACATCTTGTGGATGGTACACACTGTGGCTACTGTGTGTCATTGCTGGAAGGAACTTGCATTTATATAGCGCCTTTAATGTATTAGAACATTCTGATGCAAGTCACAGGAATGGTATCAAGCAAAAAAACTTGACACTGAGCCACAATCAGGAGTTCTGAGGGCTGTATGCACATTCCTCGCATTCAGCCATCACCCCTGTATTTTCTGACCTTCATGGTGTCCCCCAGTTAAGAGCAGCCTGCATTTTAAAATTTTTACCCTTGTTTTCACATCCCTCCCTGCTGCTCTATGTCTATTGTTTCCTCCAGTCCTACAGCACTCTGTCCATTCCTCTTCTTCTAGACAATTGGGCACTTGCCCATTTCAGCCATCTCGCTACTGGCTACGCCTTCAGCTTTTTGTAGAATCCCTACAGTGTGGAAGCAGGTCATTCAGCCCATCAAGTCTGCACTGACCCCTCCGAAGAGCATCCCAACACCCTCCACATCCACATTTCCCATGGCTAACCCACCTAGTCTGCACTATGGGACAATTTAGCACGGCCAATCCACCCTTACCCGCACATCCCTGGACACTATGGGACAATTTAGCACGGCCAAGCCACCCTAACCTGCACATCCCTGGGCACTATGGGACAATTTAGCA